CACCTCTATTACTGTATTCAGCGTATGGTCCAACCTTTACCTGCGTGCAAGTTTTAGTGATTCTTGTTCTACTGCAAGCGACCTTTTCTGCCTAACCTCTGAAAAAGGACCAATCAGAAAACTGCGTTTGTCTACTTGAATAAGCTATAATAATGTATGTGAAATATATGTAAATACGTGTTGATTTCCTTAATAAAACGATCTGTTGCCTGCCCTTGTCCTCTGTTGTTACATTTGGTGTCGCTGCCAGGATTCGGACCTGGGTTAGTGCGGCCACAACGCAATGTCCTAACCACTAGACCACAGAGACCTCGGGTAACTCAGACTCGCCTTCTGGTCTCGACAACAAATCTGCCAAAACATTTTCACTTCCAGGAACGTGTGAGATCGTAAAATCGTACTCCTGAAGACGCAACATCCACCGTGACAACTTCCCCCGTGGGTCTCTCGCTGTCTTCAAAAATTGTAGCGGCTTATGATCAGTTTCGATGTGGAACCGCCGGCCGAGTAAATAAGGTCTCCATTTGTCGACTGCCCATACCATTGCTAAACATTCTTTCTCTATCGTTGAATACTTTCTCTCTGTGAGGGTCAAAACCCTACTGGCATACTCAACGATTCCCTCGTCCTGTCTTAGGACCGCACCTATAGCGTAGTCACTGGCATCTGTGCACACTGTGAACTGTCTTCCTGGTACAGGTAGTTTTAGCGTCATTTGTTGGTGGTCGAGCAGCTGTTTAATTCTGTCGAATGTCCTCTGCGATTCTTCCGACCAAACAAACTTTGGCTCACCTAGTAGCCTGTATAGAGGGGCTGCTATCTCATTGAAGTTCTTCACGAAGCGACTATAAAACGCTGCTCTACCCAAGAATTGTCTCAGTTTTCTCTTTGAATTCGGGGCTGGAATCGTTTTAATCGTCAAAATTTTCTCCGGCAGTGGTTTAATCTCACCATTTCCCACTTTATGTCCCAACAGAGTAACATTCTTTTTGGCTATCTGAGACTTGGTTTTGTTGACGCGTAGTCCAAACTCTTCGATGCGTCGCAGCACGGCTTCTACATGGTTGACGTGATCGTTTTCGTTTTGACTGTATATGACGAGATCATCACCATAAACCTCCACGTTTTTCAAGTTCCTAAGTAATAGCTTCATCAGTCGTCTGAACGTAAACGGTGCACCTGCTAGTCCAAACGGCATGCGTTTAAATCGATATTGTGTCTGACCCACGATGAAAGCCGTCTTATCTCTATCACCTTGTTTTATCGGTATCTGCCAGTATCCTGAGCGAAGATCGAGAACCGAAAACACATTCGCACCTTGTAGGCGATCTAAAGTTTCTACCACTGTTGGCATGGCACACGGTCTTAACTCTGTCATACTGTTTAACTGTCGAAAATCAACACAGAATCTATACTTCCCATTCGCTTTTTTTACTAACAGCACTGGAGAGTTGTACGGGCTATCAGCTTCCTCAATAATGTCATCTTTTAACATCTCTTGCACTTGTCGCTCCACTTCGCCTTCCAGATGACATGGAACTCTTCGCGTTAAAAATGACCTTACTTTCGGATCACTTAACGGAATTTCATGATTCACCTTATCGCAATAACCGTATGGGTCGCCATCTCCAGTGAACAGATGATCGTATTTATTAATTAACTCTGTCACATTGTGTACCGTCGACAGCTTAATCGCTGCTATCTCGCTGGTCTCATACATGTTGATATGCCCGTATTTCGTGATCACCACGTTCGCTTGCGTGTCGATTATTGCACCAATCTCACGCAGAAAATCCGCTCCTAATATCGTTCGCTGTAGTTCGGGTACAACAATGAAAGGAAACGTCACCTCGCAGCCACCAACAACGACCGTACAGTTCGATCTACCCGTGATACGCAACACATACCCGCCTACTGTTTGTACTGTCAATGAACACGGGCTAACACTCTTACATAAATTCTTATCTATTAACGACACGGCCGCCCCTGTATCTATCAAACATACTACTTCTCGATCATTCACTCGCAACTTCGAATACAGAGCCCCTTTCTCAATAGCCCCCACTAAATCTAGGTTCATACGAAAGAAAGAACAAGCATTATACCGTCTGAAATTTTTTCTTTTTCGCCTTTCTGGGCAGTATCTTCTCCAGTGTCCCGGCTTACCGCATTCAAAACACCGGTCTTTTCTATCAGCCAACTTTAACGCCGCCACTTCCCGCTGCAATGCTTCAATTTTCTGCTCATATTCGTTTGGTTTTGGTTGGTCTATAGCGGCTACCGTTGTGCTCAGCAGCTGTCTGGTCACCTTCGCCAGCTCACTAATATCCATCGGCTGCGTTGCGTTAACCAGTTGTAATCGCTGAGAAATGTGGTCTGGGACACTCTCGATGAATTGGGAAGACAGTAACTGCGCTTCTGATTCTTCATCTAAAGTGGGAAGCGCGCGTCGAAGTAGATTAGTCAGTTTCACCGCCAACACTAGCGGGTCTCCATCAGGTCCAAGCTTCATTGACCGGAACTGCTGCATTGCTAGCTGTCTGTCTGTTTCGCTGTCAAACTCGGACACTAGTCGTTCAACCAATTTCTTCCAAGACGCTGTGCCATTTGACCTGTCTACGCTGTCATATGCAGCCTTCGCTCGGCCTCTCAACAGCGTCCCCAGGACAACTGCCTTCGCCGCCTGCTCCTTGACACCCACCAGCTCAGCAACGGCCTCGAAGTCACGTAAGAAGCTCCGTATGTCTCCTTCTTCAAACGCAGCTGGCCACGGGATCTTCATCTTTTGGAGGCAGCGACACCAAATGTAACAACAGAAGACAAGGGCTGGCAACAGATCGTTTTATTACGAAAATCAACACGTATTTATATATATTTTATGTGCATTAATAAGGCTTATGCAAGCAGAAAAAGGCAGTCTTCTGATTGGTTGTTTCTCGGAAGTTAAGCAGACAAACACAGTCTTATGATTGGTTGTTTTCGATATTTCTCGGAAAGTAGAGCCATCTATCTGCGAATCATATTTGTCCACATTTAAGTTTGCTGTGATTGGTTGTTGAAACAGCCTTGTTCATATTTTCTCACGGCCCATATTAGTGACCTAGACATTAACGTAGATTAGTGTCAACCAATCGGCTAGCAGCCTGCTCTCACCACACCGGATTCGAATCCCAGTGGGTGCGTACTGCCGATGATTCCCAAACTAGGATGAAACAGCGGCTGTCCAGTACTCCCTGGTTTTCAATGGTTCTCTAACTGATATCAATCCGTGATCAACCCGTAAAACATAACTAATCCTTATAAACCAAACTATAGAAAATTTTAGAAAGGATTCAATAAACTCTCACCTCATAAATCATGGTCTATTTCTAAGCATATGAAAATAATCATTTTGATAGGGAAAGTAAAAATAAAATCTCGTTAAAGAAAAAAAGACAAAATTTGCAGTATAAAATGACATCACTCTATTTCACGTGTTCTCATCAGCTGCAGGTTACCTGAAATTGCAATGGTTATATAGACTGATAATAACATACTTTAATGTTAGTATAGTATTTCTCCTCTATTACCAATTAAACATTACAGTATGTTATTATCAATCCACATAACCATTGTAATTTCAGGTAGTCGGTAGTTGATGAGAACTTGTGGAATAGAATGATTTCATTTTATACTGCAAATTTCGTCTTCTTTTCTTTATCGAAATTTATCAAGGGAACCAAATGTATGAAAAATATAATCATCTTGTAATCATTAATAAAATAATAATCTGTTTGTTTTCCTCTGTCCTTATCAATTAGCATTACTTTTTTTTACACTGAGTTCAATGAATATAATACTACTGACAAGCAGATTTCTATCAATTAATTGTGTAGATTAGATTTGATGTTATGGTCAGTAGATCTGATACTTTCAACAATCAAAGCAGTTTATGATTTTGTTTATGAAGGTTCTATATAAATACTTTATTGAATAATGAACCAGTCCAACAACAACTTTATAAATCTATGCTAATTTTAGGGAAGCCAATACATTTATAAATGTACCATAAATAATGATTTGAGTTATTATTATGACTTTGTGTGTGAAAAAACTGCTACACTACATGTGAATTTCATTTCCATCGTAGTTATCATCTAACAAGCTTAGTTTAGCAGGTTAGATATTAATTAAAATAAAAAAATTTTAATATATTTAACAGTAGTTTCGATAGGTTAATAAATTTCCCATCACCGTAGTTAGGTGACAAGTGTTAGTCTCCCATAAATCTTACAGAATGCCACAGTCAAACAGTCTTAAAATCACTTAACCGACCTTTTTCCACTGACAAAAGAAGAGAAAAATAAACAATTTTTTCATGGATGTTACTGTTCTTATATCCTGAAATATTACAGCAAAGCTACAGCAAATGTCGTTCGTTGCACAACTTGAACACGGGGTGCTTTTACATCTCTCGACTATATCACTTCATCCTGCTAAGTTAATTAATTTTGTCAACGTGAAATTCATCCTAATTATCGAGGATGTGACCTTTCTCTCTTCTTTTGAGTGTAGTTTTTAGTACCACTGAAAGTCAAGGAGCACTAAAAAGGTACTTTAGCCTGGTTTGGGACTCTTCAGCAGTGCACATTCATGAACCTAGGAGAGGAGCACAAAGTCAGGTTCGAAGGTAACAACTCACTGATGATAATTAATGATTGTTGCACTGCGCGCAAATTAACAGAAGTTCAACTTTGTGAACTACAACATTTGAACGCGATAGCAGGGAGCTAATGTGCTCATCTCATACGTTGGGGGAAATACAGTCACCCATAATTGGCATCGTGTGTGGATACGTTTTCGAAAAGTTCCAAACTATGAGAAAGTAGCTGTCCGAAGCTACTCGGTTTTAAATGAATCTCCAAATGATTTCTGTCGGGACGAAATATTCTTAGAAATCAATAAAATCTTTGCTAACTTAAAATTTAAAAATATGTTATTAAAGATGATAACGGACAAACCTCGTTTGATAGTGGCGCTGTAAACTGCAATCCAGGATCAGAGTTACTTTTTTGTATAATGACACTGAGAGAAAGACTCATAAATGGTGTAGTGAAGTCAATTACACGTTCCCTATCATAGGTGATAGTAAAAGATGCTACTGCGAGATCAGCTTTCTGGAAAAGAACAGAAATGCAGAAAGGTAAGAAGAATTTCCAAGACAATAAAAAAATTTTCTTTTTATATTTCAGTTTATTTGACAGGGTTAAGGACTCATTAGGATTATATCTTCAGGGAGATATCATTCAAGTAAAATAAACAGTCGAATCTAATAGGTTATTCTGTACTTAAGACTTACATCCTAGCAACGATTATGGTTCTGTATTTAGGTGAAGTAAGCGTAAATAATAAAAAAGAGTATGGTAACAAACCCTCTCGATTTTTATGTTTTGACATGAGTAAATGTGATGTCCTCCATGCGTCCAATTCCTTAATAAATCTGCAGTTTCTCTTCTTCAAATGGGTTTACGGACCCGATGCATCCAACCAGTTCAGCTGCATATTTTCGACTAGGAGATCAAGGTCAAAGTTAGCAAACAGTGTGATCATGACCAATAAATTGTGCCCGAAACATCATACAGTCATAATTATATTTTCATCGTGAGTGATATTAAATGAACTTATCTATTATGAAATTTCTAGTAAGAATTGCTTACTTTATAAACAAGATCTCCGATAAGTCCATCCCACTTTCCTTTACTCTCATCAAATGTTCCGAACTTTTTATCGCTAACAGGCTTGATAATATAATCGAAGTGGTTCATTTTACTTAAGTGTTGCAACAATTCCATTGCAAATCCAGTCCATTGATCGTTACCTTCTAAGTGTACACCTTGACGATATGGTTCAAATATTACAAATGGAGGATCCTAAGATAAAAAGAAACAATGTTGACGTATAGAATAGAAAAATGCGTTTTAGTTTACCTGCTGATATGAACACTAGGCATGAAGTGAAATGTCTAACTAACCTCCAACTACGAGAGGAACAATTATTCACATCAAATGCCGACAATAAAACTTCAGTGAAGTGTATTGGATAACCACTCAACGCGAATTTTTGTAGTTTTGTTCCCTTGGACAGAAAAAGGAATTAAAAGCGTCTCTGTTCAAGACGTGATCGGAGAATTCGTAGTGAAGACAATGTTGATGAAGTACTTGTACAGATAGATTGGTACATAATGGTTATCAAGTACACTGTGTCGAGACTAATAGTAAATTATATGAAAGAAATACAGAGTAGAAAAAGGGACCTAAGCAAGTGTTGCATCTAAACTTAAAATTTAGGGTGACACGTCGAGTGAATTCTTCAAGAACTGACTGATAAAACCACTCAAAACGCCGTTTTTGCTGACTATCTACAAGTAACTTAGTCTAGCGGTCCAACTTAATTTTAATGAAATGTTTTCTCGGTTGTTCAATTTTTTTGTATTTACATGCTCGCCTACTTTTGTCGAGCTGGGTACGTAGGACTTTGGTCGAGAAACATATTCCACTGCGTTCGAGAGCAAAGGAGAAAGTAAAGCAATTAATCTATAATGCAACATATATTAGGTTATCACCACATAGCTTCTGGTGTATCCTTTAACACCGAATACAATGTCTGATAAACCTTACCCAAAAAACATGAGTGCATTTGCTTTTCCGAGTATACTAAATCTTCTTTTATCCACTCTAACATGTTTGTTGAACCTTTGTGTTGATCTTTCTGTATTCATCAAGTGCCGGTTTGCAGGGATTTCATTGGTTACACGTTTGATCATTATACGACATCAGCTAGGGAACCAATAGCAAATCAGTGAGTACAAGACGACTGTTTCGTCCCGGTATAGGGTTTTTCGCAAAAACGCACCCAGAGGCTCCGAAACCAGGACCTTTCGGTTATAGGGCTAGCATATAGACCATTCAGCTACTGGGATGTGATGCGATGGCCAATGAATTCATGATTTATATAGCGAATTCATTCATATGTCTTATCAGTGTGTTATTCATAATCACCTACTTGAATATTATCGATTATTTGTATTTGCATTCACTGTCAAATTTTAACACAAACACATAGAATGAAACTACTTGTTATTTCTACTCAGGTTAATTGCACATTTTAGCTTGACTGATTAAGTTGGGGCGAAATGCTCAGTCACTATTGGCATATCAGTTGTCAGTATGCACGCCTCGATGACATCAAAGGGAATTGCGAAATTACCCTGAATACAAATAACAACTCATACCCATTGCACAAGGGGTGACTCACAAAGCCTGATTGATATCACTTTGATGTTCGGAATGGTAGGTGATGGGTTTGAGTCTCAACTGTCATACCGTCACTTATTAGGAATGCAGATAAATCCAACTGACGATTCCTGAACAGGACGAGATTCTCATTTTTGATGACAATGCTAGTCAACACCAAACAAAAATGTACTTATTACCGTCTGTTGTAATTCACATATAAATACAACTGTATAGCTGTGAAAATGAAACTGTCGAAAGGCGAATTTGCTTCGTTCCAATCTTCGTTTTATGTCTCAAAAGAAATCAGTAATTTAATGAAATTTAAATATGCAGGGGAATCTAAAGAATATTCGCTATACGTTTCAATTCCTTAATTTATGTAAGTGTTGAATATTTCTTATTCGAGAAAGCTTAACCAGAAATTCCTTTTCACAAATATTCCAAATTATAACTATTACTAACCAAGCAGTCGACACGCAAAGCATTTGCGAATAACAATATAGCACTACATGGATTCAGTGTACTTATTCTCCAGAATACTCCTAATCAGAAATGTAATAGTACTAATAAGAGCGTATTGTCTTAGTCTTATTCAATTTCAAAATTGTAAGATAACAGTAATTTGTTTTCTCAATTATTCTACTTTTGAATCATTCTTGTAAGAAAAGTCTTAAGTATTATATGCTTTTGAAAACAAAGAAGAAGAAGGGAAACAAACAGATCTATCCGCACTTACCTCGATAGTTGTAACAATAAATGTCTTGTTCATATACTTTGTTCCACCTTGTGAGAATGCGGTTTCAGCTGTCTGTTTAGACACAAATCCCCTTTTTAATGACCAGTTTAATAACTGAAAAAATTAAACACAGTATTTAGATAATTCTGAAGGACCAAATGAGTATATGATTTATTAGTGTGAAATATTCTATATTTTGAATAAAAAGTCAATCTGAACGAAGAATATTCTTTTCAATAATTTCTCTTCAGGTTCTTACAATTATAAAATATAATATATGTTGTCGTTACAATAAAGGTCAGTTATGCGGCGGATACATTCTTAATGTAGAATAACAGATTAGTTAGGGGGTGTCAAAATAAATAGTCGTGTTTGTGTGACAAACTTGCTAGGCTGAAATCGATTACAAAATATTGTAAAATGGGAGACAATGGTGGTGATTAGTCATAATAGATTTGTAGAGTGTGGGGTAGGAAAATTGATAAGTCAGATCAAGGTTATAAAAGGTGTCAGGTGAGTGGCTAGTACAAAGTGGTCTGTATTAAACAGCAGATAGTAAGAATGCAATGAGAGGTTCATGATGAAATGATGAATATGTGAAATGAAACAGGTGGAGGCATACATTGAGAAAAGAGATAATATCACTAATAATAATTCCGGATAGTATAAATGAAAAATTTGATAGTATTGAGGAATGTTTGCATGAAGGGCATAAATTATGACGAATAATGATAAGCAAAGGAAAAAACCAAGAGGGATAAGGGGAAGGAGCACTATTGGTGAGAAGAAGATTCATCAATCCAAGTTTGGTCACGGTAGGAACGGCATCTGGACATGTTCTTTTTGGATACAAAATTCCGGTTTAGTCGATCTTATTGCAACGGCTTCAGCTATGTGTAGGAGACGTAAGCGAACTCTACATGATAACGACTTCGAAATTCGGTATATAACCCTGAAAGCTGTGTTGGCATAGATGCGATATCCAGTATCAACCAAGTTTGAAAGGATCGAGCTTCTCATGCATTTAATTTTCTCCCTGCTGAACCAAGCTGGTAAATGTTCTCGAATCCACACACAGCTGAAGCTGCTGCAATAAGATCGACTAAACCGGAACTTTGTATCCAAAAAGAACATGTCCAGATGCCGTTCCTACCGTGACCAAACTTGGATTGATGAATCTTCTTCTCACCAATAGTGCTCCTTCCCCTTATCCCTCTTGGTTTTTTCCTTTGCTTATCATTATTCGTCATAATTTATGCCCTTCATGCAAACATTCCTCAATACTATCAAATTTTTCATTTATACTATCCGGAATTATTATTAGTGATATTATCTCTTTTCTCAATGTATGCCTCCACCTGTTTCATTTCACATATTCATCATTTCATCATGAACCTCTCATTGCATTCTTACTATCTGCTGTTTAATACAGACCACTTTGTACTAGCCACTCACCTGACACCTTTTATAACCTTGATCTGAATTATCAATTTTCCTACCCCACACTCTACAAATCTATTATGACTAATCACCACCATTGTCTCCCATTTTACAATATTTTGTAATCGATTTCAGCCTAGCAAGTTTGTCACACAAACACGACTATTTATTTTGACACCCCTAACTAATCTGTTATTCTACATTAAGAATGTACCCGCCGCATAACTGACCTTTATTGTAACGACAACATATATTATATTTTATAATTGTAAGAACCTGAAGAGAAATTATTGAAAAGAATATTCTTCGTTCAGATTGACTTTTAAATGAGTATATGTAAATATAGGGAAGAAAATCCTATAATAATGCAATAAAAGGAAACTGATATTAAAGAGAGAGAGAGAGAACTAAGTGTTATTCAAAGTCAGATATTGACTGAATTAAATTGTAAATTGCCGAAAATAAAACAACACCTACTATAAGCGGATTAAGCGAAAGGCTTAAGTTTCTGTTTGCGTATCTCATAGGTGTTTACGCCTTGTGTATGCAAACTCATTTCAAAATTAATTTGAAAAGCATTATGTAGTATATACGAATGATAAAAAGAAGATATTGGTGCATTATTTTGCATAGTGAACTCACATTTTCATTTTTAGTAATGAGATTCGCTTACTTGACGTATGGAGACAGACGGTAATAAACACTTTTAGAGGAAACATCTCTTTCCCCCAGCTTTTAATGTAAACATTAAAGTGAGTAGGTAAGTTGCAGAATTTTCTAGACTACAAATGTAACCATCATAACAAATAAAAGATGTCATATGTGTGAATAGTTTTCTTCTACTCATTTCCCTTATCATTCCCGCAAGGTAGTTAGCATGGTCACAGAAACGTGGCAATGTATCTATAATGAGTGCAATAACGGAACCACTGGTTGGGTCATGGTTACTCACTGCTGAAGAGTTCTAAACTAGGATGGAACTACTGTCCCGTACTCCCTGGTTTTCACTGGATTTGTAACTGATGTCATTTCGTGGCCAAAGCTGGATTCATTTCACTTCGCGGATTCCTATCAGATACTTAGAATATCAGATATGAAAAATATTTGTATAACTTATTGAATGAGGTAGACTGATGTCGATCAGAAGTCAAACGAATAGTAACGAAATCACTGAAAGAAGAATGTGCTCAATCAGATTACCGAACGAGGGAAAAAGGGAAGTACGGTACTCATTAAAGAAGAGTGGGAGAGTTTCATTGAGAATAAATAGCTTCACATTATTAAGCTACCATTATAACGTTTTCCGTAGTCAAATAAACTAATTGCACCACTCTCCTACCTTGGTAGCTGGTTACCATCTTGACTTTCATTTACTATTATTGATCATTCTCGATGGCCACTCAGCGAATTAATCAATCTCAAGTCGAGAGCTAATGATTAGTCTCTGGAGAGAATCTCATTAATTTAAAGAAGAATTAATTGTCATCAAATGCAGTGATATAATTATTGAAATAAATGGTAAAACAACGAAACTTGTAGAATGTCAAAAGATTTCTAGCACTGGTACAGTTGAAGCATTACAAAGGGAAAGCAGGTATGATTTTATTGTGTATATTTATTTATGGAGTATAGGTTTGTTAAAGAAATCACTCAGTCGACATTCCCATCCTCCTATATATAATGTCTTCATCACTTGATTTCCTGAAGACATTATTATCAGTTTTAATCAAAATTATATTTACAGTTTCAGTAGGGTTTCTCCAATGTCAGCAACGTCACTGTCCATTTAAGTTGGCTCGAGGAGACAGAATCTATGAAAATCATTGTGGACTTCTATGTTTCGAGCAATAGCTAATTATAGAAAATGAAAGCCCATTAGCATTGCGATTTTAAAGGTTTAGAGGGGGAACATTTCGCAGATTACTGTTACATTCAGTAAAATTGTATTATAAATGAAAAACTTTGTAAGTATTCTTTGAAAGAAGAGGTATATTGACTCACTAAGACAATTACAGAATAATAATAGTACTTATGAAAGACGTGACATTTTTATTTTCTTATGTGACATTTATAAGGTGCACAATTTCTGTATAACACTACATTTATTCCACAGAAGAAAGAATATGTTATTTGCTTTTAAACCGTTTCTTAATTTCCAGCTATACGGCCACTCTCCTACTATGAAATTTGGACCAAGTGGTTGCATTGTCGCCAGCGTTACCGCTAATTCCAGAAAAGAATCATTTACGCAGTTCGCCTATAATTGATTTTTTTCATCAGAATAACATAATATGATGATAACAATATCAGTTTGATTGTCAGGTCATATTTCAAGAGTAAGTAATCCTTTCTTTCTTTTGGCATTTAAATCTGAAGGCACTGTAGAGGTGCTTTTATATTTTCATTCAACAATAGAGTATAACACTGGATAAGGCAATTCAGTCTAGTGAATCAGTCAAGACCACAAAGTCACCTTACTTTTTCTATTCTCTTCAGAAGTGTGTGTATTCTTCAGTGACCTCAGTAATCCATTTCTTACTAGTAGTAAATATATTCAAATAAAGAATAGGATATCATATTCAGACTATAATATTCTATGGGGTATTTTGTAAGTTATTCATAAAAGCAGACCCAAATTGGTGGTATGATTTATAAGAAGGTTAAGTATATTCAAAAGAGAATCTATTTTGTCTTATAAATCCAGAAGTCCTAGAGAAATTGAATGTCTTGTAGAATCAGGTCATTCAGATTATTTTATGTAATTTAAGAGAAAATTGAATCGTAAATAAGACTGAAGGCATTATTCAAGTTACAGCTTTTAGACTGATGGTGGATATTAATGTTGTAAAATAATGTTGGATAATTAGCTATGCCCGTAATTAGTTATTGTTTCCTGCGTTACTGTTTAGGATTCGTTAGAGTTGCCTTTTCTAACTAACTTAAAATAACAGAAGATGCTTTCAAAAAGGAGATCAGTCACAATTAACGTTTTTAGTGAACTTCAGTTTGTTCGTCAGATGAATTATGACAGTACAGAATCTGATATTTCTGACTGTCTGTTCCTATCGAAGTAAAATGATACTAGTCTTAAGGAAAATACAATATGTTTAAATTATCATCAAATCAATGTGCACGATAATGTCGAGCCACCTAGAATGGTGGCCACACTGCAAACGCGAGTGAAAGAATTCAGTCTACATCCAACAAAGGATTAGACATATAACACTTGTTACTAACTGGTGTCCAATCAAAATTCATCATTATTTTGCAGTGTCAGAAGTGCATCCATCAAGTTTCTTACGGTTAGCTAATATCTGAGTCTGTTGCATCAATAATAACATAGTGTATCAGTTGATGTCTTCCAGTTTCTATGAACGGAAAATTAGATATATATGCATATACTTTTATTGTAAATCTGACTCAAAATTAAGCCAAGAGCTAAATAAGTTACTAACTGAAATTCATGTCTTACTACAATATTTTAATTAAAGTAGAGAAAACAAATCGCTTTTTAACTAAAAGTTGAGAAGTGATCTGCACTATCTTTTGTAAGATTCACTTCTCAGGCACCCATCTGTTATCATTATCAGAGTGGTCGGTCATATAAAACCCGTGCTGAAGGTTTTAGGTAAAAAAGTATTATTGAGGATTTGTTTCTTGGGTGAACGACAATCACTGCTTGATGTATGAGAATTGATTAGTCTAAAAGTGATTTCAAATATTCCCAAAATCTTAAACTAAACATCTCGAATGGGGGAAAACAAATCAAAACTGTTATGAATATTTATTTATGGGTTCTAGACAGTAGGAGACAGTCTTGTAATAACATACTCACCAGTCACCATCCATTACATAAAAATGTATGGGTCAGATGAAAAGCGGATGGAAAATGTAATTTCTTGCGGACATCGTCTGGTTAATGATGAACGCATAAAACTAATACTCATCCTTCATTTTTATTTGACAATTACTGGTGAGTGATGAGAGAATAACACAGTAAATTTTTTAGTGTTTATAAGTGGGTTTAAAATATCAAGTAAAAATTTAAGTTTATTGAAGGGCAGCTAAACCTTGTTTCTCCAAATAAGTAAACTCATTCTCAATTAAGTGGCGAAATTATTTACTGTTTGATAGACGATTAACGGTTCACTCCCCCACCCTGAATTGGTTATAAAAAACTTGTTTTCCCCTGTAGTATTATTTTTTAAGCGCGAAATCGAAACCTGTAAAATCAAATTGTTTGTCTGTAAATGTTAAAAATCCATTTACTCGAGAAACAGTCATATTGAAAAGACATAACAGTAAACAGACATAATATTATATACAAATGAAAATCACTCATATCATTTCATTACTTGTTGTGACCTTCCGTTTTTTAAGCTTATCACTTCAAGGTTATAATCTAGTATCGAATTGATTTTGGTTGAATCTGTATAGCCAATTCGAGAGTTAAGCACTTGCTAGAGAATTTAAAAGACAGAGATACACACCTTCAAGACATAAATATAAAATTAATATAATAAGAAAAAACAGAAAAATAGATTTGTTAGAGCTGTCTTTTACTAGACAAGTGTCTAACAAACGTTTCAAATCGGAAGTCATTAATATATCAATAGTTGCTTTTCCAATACGATCCTGTTATTTCTTTATTGTGATACACAAATCAGATGACTTATGTGCGAAAGTAATGGTTATTTATCATGCTATTAGTCTTCTGTCATTATCCCAATGGAAGGGTTTGTATTTATGGATAAGTCGATAAAGCAGGCAAACAGCCTCTTGAAACCACACTTGCCATTCTATAAATCTTAAAATACAATTGCAATAATAAGCCCAAGTTTGGTATTAGGTGTCTAATTTACTCAGTAAATTTAAATTAGTACGACCTAACCACCACTCATTTTCAGCGTGGGTGATTACTAAGTCTATGGATGATGGTTGTATTTACCAAGTAAGTTTGGTGTTGTCATGCAGCCAATATCTTGGATTTCAACTCTATCCTTGATGCTAAGAAGGATATTCGCAGCTTAGAGTTAGGGGGTTGATTTCATACTATTCCTGATACTGATGTTTATTGCTGCAAAAATCCTAGTGTATCTTCATTCCGCATCTTTACTTTGACGAAGATAATGGAATTGTCATGAACATTTGTTGAGTAAGTCAAATAAACTATTTAATATTCGATGCTCAGTATTTGAAATTTAAGTCGAGAATTCAATTGACTAACTAAATGATTAGCTGACAGAATAGAAATTCGATTTATGTGATGACTTAAGGAAAAACTATTATTTTTTGCTTTAAGTTCAAAATCTCTAAACCAAAAACTATCAGCTTAGAGAATAAATTTTTTAAATAACTTACTTTGGTTATAAGTGATATTCTATTCTAGTGTCTACTATATTTCTTAAATTCACTTCATCAAAATGTACTTCATTTAGTAATCATTATTAATACATGTAGAACATCTTTTAAAATGCAACGACTTACACTTATGTGTGTGTGTAATAATTGTCCACTTTTATACATAATATGAGGTCCGTTTTTATGGCTAACTAGTAAACCTTTGGGTGTTTTTAACAAACTGGATCGTACTGGCGTACAACCAACGTGTTCTGGAACTTCTAATTTTTTACCGGCTAAATTTATTGCTGCAGAGAAATGTTCCACAACACTTCTTGTCATTTGTGTATGAAGCTGGAAATAAAACAATGAATAAGCAGGGTTATAAGCTTGTTAAAATGTAAATTACGGGATTTTCCAGCCCCGGAGGCAGAAAAACTGCTAACATACTTTCTTTGATTAAAAGATTAATGTTAATGGTTTATTTGCCTTCGATATTAATTATAAGTTCAGGGATTCCTATTAATACAGAGTTTTCAGCTATTTAGCACTTCATGATTTCTCTTGAATTCATGAACAGTCCCCATCCAGATAATGATGAAAACAAAATACTTATTTCAGCGAATAGGTTCTTTTCGGCGAATTCATTTTCTTTAAACGTACAATAGCATTATTTTACATTTTTTTCATGTAAGAGGACAGTCACAAAAATGATGAATTGTTGCAATCATAGTTATGAACGTAAGTCTATAGATAATGGGAATTGAACAGGTGTATTAGTGTTATGTAGTAAGATGAGTAATTTAATGAACCAGTTGTTATCAGGATGAACACAGAAACTAAGGAAAATATAGAACTATTAAAGAATCCAGAAAATATACAGGAGTTATACGGAATTAGAAAAACAAACAAGTGAAAATCAGGTGAGCGGAAATCGACAGGTAGAAGTAGAAGTGGTTGAATAAGTTCCTTCTGTATACATACAACTGTGATTGTGACAACTTATTACTTCCGTTACCATACAAAATTGTATAAATATATATATACATGGTTGTACAGCTAAAGAAAGTGAATTTGGTTGGAGGATTTCATCATGAGCTGATATCGATAGAGAACCAGTGAAGGGCTTTTGGGTCCTAGGGGCCTAATGGTGTACGAGCTCTCTAGCCTTGTAACCAGAAAAGGTCCTGTTTTCGAGCCCCGGTGATTGCGTACTGCTGAAGAGTCCCAAACTAGGCTAACGAAACAGCTATCCAGTACTCCCAGGCTTTCCAATGGTTCTCTAATCAATGTTATCTCATAATGAAATCCTCCAACCAATCAGACAAAATCTGCACAAATCAATACCTGAAAATGAATTTTCCGAAAAGTGCCTCTTCGCTGAACTACGTGTTTTTTTCCAATGAATTGTCTGCAAGATCCTAGTTTAATCCATATTTTTCAAGTGCAGTTAAACTTTAACTTCGTACTACAACTCATTCAGTGTCATTCAACGAATTCTGAAACGACAGAATTCCATTTTTGAAATAAGCCATTCAAAAATATTAGGTAGAAATGAGTATTGAGTTTGAGAAATGACACTTAATTCTACACCCATAATAGAGAAGTAAAAGCTTTGCTGCTCTTTTACAGTATAAATGACAGTCCTCCTACTTAAGTAGCAAAAAAGACTTCTAATCAATTCATAAGATACGAAAATTGGTCACAAATCTTAACTGTTTCAAGCTGTATTTGTAACTAAGGTAACCATAGTGAGGAACTCTCGGAAATCTCAGTTTTGAAATTAAATTATTTTACATGCTAGCAGCTAATAACAAATAATTTTATTTCAGTTTTCATAAATTATGCGCCCCCTTTTTGATAATCTGGTATGAAATCTCATCTTAGTAGTTTGAGTCATATATTGCTTTAATCATTTAGGTAACTTTAGAATATCAGGTTCATTATCACTAATATGTGAAATCAAAGAAGGGACCATTAGAAGTTGATGAGTAATGAATAGATACTTTGGGATTGTTTTGAAGGTAGCTTTCCATTTATAAATTAATCAAGCTTTAAAGAATCAGGAGGGCTCATCTACCTTGTAGCTGTTTGTCGTTCAGTAGAAGTTCATTCTACTATAACTGTCATCAACAAAACTTTTCTCTTATTGTCAAGTTTGTAACATCTTTATTTTATTTGTTCTCAGTATTTTTTAAGGTCATTGGAATTCTTTCATACACTTTCAAGAAATACTAAATTAATTTTCAAAACAAAATCAAATAATCTATCAGATAATTAAAAGTAGGAAAATAATTATCAACTGACAGTTTGTCTGACCATTAGTTATTCCCCCTAAGTTCAACGTTTTGTCTTTCTTTAATAAACTTGAAAGATTTACATTTTAAAATATTAGAGGCATAAGGAAAATAATTAAATTTAGAGTCAGTATGTTTCTATTATTAAAAAAGAGAAATTTGAACTCAGAGTTAAAGAGCTCTTCATTTATTATCTTTTGTTTCGTTTCCTGCTTAAGATAAGTTTCGAATGAATCATTTGTTTATTCCTCCTTTAAGGATGATACTACATTATATATATATATATATACCAAGGCAAATTTGCTAACGACATATTAACGTTTCAATGGTAGTGGTCAGAAAAATAACGCAGTAGCATTTTCAGCATAATGAAAAATGCATCATGTCGTATGTGTATGTGGTTAACTTATAGTCATGGAAAATTCAAAGGACGAATAGGTAATTTTCATTCATCTTTATCTCAATTATATGGTGTGAAATGAACATAGATTATTTTGGTGTTGCAACCGTCTTTTTAATAATTTGATGTTTATAAAGTTCTGCAAGAAATAACACTGCATCTTTTTGAAATTATAGCAGAAGTGAAGGTATACTGTTTTCAGGGATAGAATGTTGAAATCAAACACTGATTTTCAAATAATAAAGTGGTCTTTACTACAGAATTCAACCTGTGACAAAAAACGTTAGAAGGTGATTACAGTAATATTGTTGCGAAATTTCCATGGTTAAATGCCCTGCCCAAAAGTAGAGGTATTTTTTGATATCTACTATCCATATGTCATCTATATTGTTAATTTAAGCCACTTTTTCATTCTTTGCTTCAGTCGAGTTGGGTTCTTTTTGCAGGGTGGGGTTATCAGCCTTCCGCTCGACCTTCCGTCATTTTTGGCCTTACTAATGGTTAGTATACTAGACGAGGTTTAATAGTGTATCGCTCGAGAATCGACCCCATATCACGTGCATCGCTGACCACATACCATGGTAACCAAGTAAATCGGTAACCACACGTGGTATTATAGTGTCTCGCAACCCGATAACAATATACATATGCTTATGCAAACACTACGTGGTCTCGTAAAGAGATGTTAATTCCTATTCAAGGCGAATGGTAGTATCCGTGTTTAATTTGCCAGTAAATCGCTTTTACGTAAATCTTTGAATATGGCTATTTTTTTTCATTATCTTCCCCGACATTTTAAATGTCTTATTTTCCTCCATTATAGATAAGATTTTATTTTGATAAATCACACATGTTGTACAGTTATATGAACTGATGACGTTTCGTATAACTGTACAACACTGTGATTTATCAAAATAAAATGTTATCTATAATGGAGATATACTCTACCACAGTGCCCAAGTTTTATACTTATACCTTATTTTCCTGTACGTAAATATGACAGAATATTAATATCAGTATAGATTAGAATCCCACGTCAGCTTGTTTACAATTTGCAGCATTGAGATCCTTTTTTGATCTGTTGTCGTGTGAAACATAAAACACCACAGTCATCAAATTGACTTTATTATTTTTATTTCCTTCACCTTGTTCTGTCTCAGAAGATAGTTTAGTTGGTCCAGATATATGAGGCAAATGATGAGTCATTCGTGTTACATGTGAACATCCATAATTCAATAACCGAATATTTAATTATAAATAAAGTCTCTGAAACTGTCCATCCGTTTTATCTCTCAGTGTAATTGTGTGCTTGATTTCGGTTAGGATTTTCTCAATCTCTTTCCTGATGTAAATATATATAAGCCGTACAATGGATTCCGCGCTTATTACATATTTATCTGAGTTCTGTTTGTGATGAAATATTTTGTAGTGAAATGATGTCGTCCTGAGTTTTAATTTTCATGTTTCAAAACCTTACTTCATTTAACTCTCGTTATGCATAAATCAATCACTTTATAATGCTTTCGGACCTATTGTTGTATAACTTACATTTATCTACCGATTTTACATAAGGAAACTGAAGTGGGTACTTGATAAGAAGTAGATAATAATATTCACAGGAGTTACGTGAAGAAAGGGATTTACAACTGGATCTGTGTTTTGAACTGTGGATCTTCACATGTAACACGAATGACTCATCATTTGCCTCATATATTTGGACCAACTAAACTATCTTCTGAGAGAGAACAAGGTGAAGGAAATAAAAATAATAAAGTCAGTTTGTTGAGTGTGGTGTTTTATGATTCTCATGACAACTGGTTAATAAATCTTGTATGTAACTCAAAAGTTAATACAGGTTCGTTTCCATTAGATTGCCTATATAGGCATTCATCATAAAACCTGTGATCGATAAGCTTGAATAAACTTCCCTAGTATACGCCTAATTCATATCGTCCTGTGTATAAAAAGGAGACTTATTTCCTGTTACGTAATTTTTTGCTTAAGTTTTAACAGGGAAACTATGAATGGTAACCTTATGAGTTAGCAAAAGGTTTTGAATTCGGCCATTCACAAAATAGCAGGAAGTCAGTTACAAATAAGGGTTATGAAAGAAGAATTTGAATCGTGCGACCTGGAAATTTTCTGTCACGCTCAAACAAAGTATATGTTAATTTTTGTGCAATAATTCATAACAATCGTAATATAGCAGCGTGGAATGGTCTTTTTAACTGGTGGCACAGTGGTTAGGACTCTCGCCGACCATGTACACGGTCCGGGGTTCGATCCCCTGTCGACGCACACCTGATATCTATGGTTGGCCTGCAAAATTTGGGCTACCGATATCACACGCTGAAAATTCCATACTTGTGCCAAAAATTCGGTGTGGAATCAAGCTGTAATCAAAAAAATTTATTTCTGACGTGTTTCCACGATTCATATATGTCAATTTATACACTTTAGTGCAGTAACTGAGTAATGTAACTAGGTAAATTTATTAATGATATAATATTGATTTGGTTTTTGACTATGAAATTTAATACAGTCATTTTTATAATTTAAGATGAATATAGCAACACTTTAATTCATTTTGTTGACAGTGTACAGGAAAAGGGATGTGGTTTCTATATGATGGTGGTTTTTGCCTTTTTTAAAAATAGAAAAGAATTTTCCTGGCTAAATTCAGCTGATATGGGTGACTAATCAAAATAAAAGTATTAATTTAATGTAAATTCTATATAAAAACCAAATTTTTCTCACATCATCTTGTTGGTTTTTACGTTAGAAAGAAATGAAAAGCAAACAATGAAAGACAATCAGTAGTTCACTGTAGTTACTGTCTGAATAAATTCAACACAGTGGTTAGGTTTTCGGTTACTTACCTCCGATTTATGAATATATTATCACATACAAATACGTCAGATAATTTGAAAAGGTCTTACCGATTCTGTTTCCATTTCATTAGATATTCCAGGTATTTTAAAACGAACCAAGCCAATATTACCTTTTACGCGTCGAAGTGAATTCATCAAACTTTCAAGAGAACCCTTGGAATTTCAATCATATGAAAAAAGTTAGTCCGAGTAATAGAATTGCCTTCATGAAAAAGTGCTTTTGTGAAATTACACGTAATGCAAATCCTATTTGAATTCCACATAATGGAAACGAAAAATTTATCACCGATGATAGACATGGTAAGTACAAGACTAAAACTAGTAGTTACATCTGATATCGTTGTATGTATATATGTATGCCCAGAAACATCAGTATATTATGTAGAATATTCGTAGCTCATGCATATCTGGTCATTTCATTTCTTTCCACATGATAGATGCTTTTGGTAGAATCTCCAACAATAGTCAAAGTGTTATCTTCGAGGAAAAATTTCGAGGAAGTAGATATTTCGAGACTACAAGTCATCTGATTAATTCAAACTTTCAAGATTTATTGCACTCTGGAACAACGTTATATACAATACTAGTCAAATAATTTGAAGTGGAGACTATTTCAAGTGTTTAGTGGCAATTTGGAAACTGATAAATGGGAATGCAGTTTGAACGGTGTGTGAAAGTTTCCACAGAAAGAAAGTTACACATTCATTCCATTCTGTGAAAAATTTACGCTCTGTATTCCACCTAACTGCTGCACAAAATACACGTTATATCAATAGAATCTCTAGAAAGGCACAACTTTATGGTTTTTCTACTACTACGCTCTTAATGAAAAGACAAAAGATAAGATAAGCTTTATTCCAAATCAGTACTTGTGATACAGAATGGAATTCTCAGCATTTTACTACAATATTGCATCCAGTTGGTACATTAACAATAAATATAGTTCTACATAGATTAAAGTTATCTCAGTCAGTTTTAACAACATATTAGCATGTCGGTAGCAAAGCCAAAATTTAAAGTGCTCGAAGGTGTTTAGAGAGTAGATACTACTAGCATATTTACAGGCGTAAGCGATAGCAAAATGGTCGAGATATACAGAGTATGAAACAACGAACAAGAATGTTTTAAGTAGAGTTTGCAAGGAAGAGAGAAACAAAGCAGCACATAACAAAATAAATACAGAATGAAGAGAGAGAAAACGTTGTACCTATAAATGATGTGAGTTGGAAAGACGAGATCCATTGGTTCTACTGACTATTTAATAAGTTAAAGGTTTCATGCCTAATGCTTTCTTTGTCGCACAGAACACGAGCTAGGTAGGGTATGAATGAGTTTTTGTACTTACTAGTGCGGGCATATAGTTTCCTATATAGACTTCTTGTTTTCCCTGAAGAGATACATGGGGAGAGTTGTGAATGTAGAGGGTGTTGTGAGTCATATAAGATGGATTTCGCCCATTTTTCACATGAGTCCATGCGCCTGTCCACCAGAATATTAACAAGCTGGCTAAGTGGCAAACTGCTTACCCTGCTGACAACCTTTAACATCCTGCGTAATAAGGTGTAGTCTTTCTTCAGGAGCCCTGGAAAGACTAAGGGGGAGCAATAGAGAATAATAGGTAGAATACGGGAGTTAACAAATTGTAGGAGTAAGGGTTTGGTTACACCAGAATGTCTTAACTTCTTGATATAGAAGGTAAGACGGTATATTTTCTTGAAAATCGTCAAGATATGAGACGACCGGGAAAGATCAGAAGATAGAGTGACGCCTAGGTATTTAATTTCCGACTTGGTTTCAATTTCAGTGCCATCTATTTTGCACACCTCGTGAGTGCTAACCAGTTTGTTTAGGTCAGATTTATGCCTAAAGGTGAAATTAACTGTTTGGCATTTGGAGGGGTTTAAGGTGAGACCGTTTTCCTTGGACCATTGGCTGACTTCTGATAAAAAGCCATTTAGTTTAGAGCAGTCACTTTGACATTTGACAGGTAAAGATACAGTTAGGTCATCAGCATATTTGACAAAGTTAATGTCATTTGAAGATGGTAGGTCATGTAGGAAGAATGAAAAGAGAAGTGGGGGGAGTACAGCACCTTGGGGGACACCAGCTTCAGTGAGCACAGCAGAGGAGGATTCACCTTTGTATACGGTGTACTGCATTCTGTTTGAAAAGTAGGAATGCAACCAGTTAGTGACCCAGGACTCGGTACTGCAGAAAAATACATATTCAGATAAATTGAAGCTGTCACTTGTTTGATTAGCATCACTCACTAGACAGTTTTTAATGCAGAATATTTTATCTTCAGCGTCAATACTTGACACTAATAACGTTTAAGTTTAAAGTAAATGGTCCTTCTATACGTTAGTTCGTCACTGATATACGAATGGACTTCGTACACTGTGACAGTGCATAATTCCATAATGGAATAATTTTACTTGGTACAACACATAGTGACACAATATTATCTGTTTACTGATGATGCTTTGAGCACAATGTCTTGGTTACAACCATATCAGGTTGTCCAATGTGTTCATAAAAATAACTGTGTCTGTCCTATAGTGTGATTCTTTTGTAAACTGATAAAATTCTAAAGACAGTTTCATATGCATAACTAAAGTGTATCATTTTAAATATATGGATTATATTCTCGTTTACTCAGTGAGTCGACTTCAACAATTCAGAATCCCCTAGTAGACTATGTCAAAAGAATACTAATTTGAGGAAAATAAAAGTTGACACGACTTAATTCATATTACTCAGATAAACATTTCTTTTTTGTCCAGCTGTTTCACTTATTTCAAAAAATGGTTTTTTATGAAAAATCCCTTTTGGATTGTAAGGCTGCTAACTGTGTGTATTTACGTCTATAGGTAAAATATAAATCAAAAGACAGTGATACTGGCATCCTTTCTCTGCTGTAATCAGATCAATATTGTTTGTGGGTACTGATAACTAGTCAGCAATGATTTGCATGCAACAACCTTCTAGGGAATCTTTTGATAAATGAGATTCACAAAATAGTATTATTTATAATTATTATTACTGACTTATTTTTGTACTTTCCTGTCTCTTCACCTAGGGTGAATCAATATTTTGAGTATACGAGCACTTTGAGCTAATACCTGTAACTTTCTGTGAGTTTCACCTTGATACCATACACTTATTAGTGTTTAGCATTGGGAACCAGAATCTATTTCATCTTATTTGAAGCTAGTCAGCTGTATGCGTTTACATCGTTATGGGTGAAGTTGATCTTAGTGCGGCTTTATAACAACATTCATCAGTGAGTAGCCCAGGATAGCACGCTGAGTTTTAAATAATAGATGCTGCATTTTAGTCTCAAGATAAACACCATGGATCATTGGATAGCAGTACTTCGAGTCTGATGAGTTGCGAGTTTGATGGAATATTCATCCTGTATTCGAACGCTAGTCACCATAGAATGGATCATTAATATATTACATTATTTGGGAAACAAACTTACATCATTAAATATGAAATAATGTGCATAGTTGGAATTGGCTTCTTGATCACCCATCTGCAAATGATAAGAGAAAATATTCAAGCCTTCAAGCATAGAATAAACCGTGTGTTGTTAATTAATGAGCACTGATAAATCTACTATTTTTTCCGTAATAACACTGTATTACATCTTATTGGTAAGTCTCACTTGCCGCAAGACATGATAGCACATAACTGCTGTTTCATTTTATTCTGAAATTTTTATCAATATCCACCCGTAAACTCTTCAGGAATGGAACATATAACATTTAGGCTACGACACAAGCACCTTACTGTCTATCTACTGTATTGAAATTCAGTGAATTGTGAATCCCATCCCCTTTTAATTTTTTGCACAACCAGTGTAATCAGAGAATAAATGTCCTCCCATTTAAATTGGTGAATCTAGCTAGTCACAACTTTTCATTAAAACTTCAAGAAATCCATAATGCCAATGATCAACAAAGGATGGAGGAATTTACTTTTAACTGGACACTAGTTAGTAGGTAGTGTTATGTGCCTAGTTATTTGTCTGGTGCTGATTGAATTCTATCAGTCCATCTAATACCAACAGTTCACAGTGCACCGTGATGGCTAGCCACCCAGTATGGTGGCCACATTGCAAACTTGTTTGATAGAATTCAATCTGCAGCAAACAAAGAACTAGACACATTACACTGGTTACTAACTAGTGTCCAATCAAAAGTATCCAATACAGTCTTACAGGAGGTCAATCGCGGGCCCAAACAGCTCGGCGATAATGTATCTTACTGCAGTACTCACTGGGTGATGCGAGCTGGAATCTCAGAAATGACATGAGTTCCTACAAGGTAGCAAATATGCCTTGTTGACTCGTGAGTGCCAACTAGTACGAAACCTAGGTCAAGCAAGACTTCCTGCTGATTGTCTCCAACCATCTAATAATGCGTCGGTGGCGTAGCGGTTAGGACGCTCACTGACCATGCGCATGGGTCGGGGTTCGATCACCTGCCAACGCAAACCTGATGCCGATGGTTGGGCTGCTAAATTTTGGCTACCGATATCACATGCTGAAATTCCATACTTGTATCAAAAATACTGTGTGGAGTCAAGCTACAATAAAAAAATAGTGCAACGTTTTTACGATTGGGTTTGTGAAGATTTGGAGGCTTAAATTGAAATTTCGTCAAAAACTGACATGATGGACAGATGGATTTACATCATTTTCATATAACTATGACGTCTAGCCATGAACCAGACATAATAAAATCGAATAACTTAGTGGAATTATGGAAATCGATGTTTATATTACATTTTTCAGTCATTATCCAACGCCACTGGGATACATTAAAGCCCTGTCAGTTCTTCAACAGTATTTTCACTCTAAGATCAAAAAAGTGGTTAGTCTGGTCTCGGGATACTGATCGAGTACAGTACATAACTAAGGAATAATCGATATTCAACGATGAATAATAATCGATTATCTTCTGGAGGGTCGGAGCACCACATTAAATATTCTTCATTGGTATGAGTAGCCGGAATTCACTAACATCAATATGCATTTCCTACTAACCAGATCAATTTTATCTAAACACTGTGCGGTTTATACAACTGTTTGGAAGAGAGCTCAATATCAGTTTAGCTGGATTGAGTTGATTTTGAGAGTCTAGTCAGTTAAAGATACCGGAAACTTGGCTAACTGCATAGGTAAACTGGTAACACAGAGTACAATCAAGAGAAGGTACTGTGTACTATTTCTACTTGCACACAATGTCAGTCAAGTTACACGTTATCGTCCTGTTACTCTGGTTTAGTAGGGAAACTTCGGTGTGGTTCCAACTCAGACTGTGTACTTAAGGGAGCTTTTGCTTCATTATTTCAAGTGTGGACCTGAACCACTGGGCTTTATCATAAAGTAATAAAAATGTCATATATTTGGGTTAACAGTACATGTGTAATAGTAAATGTCTAACTCGTCAATAAAAAGGCATTCAGGTGAGAGAATACTCAATAAGAAACATATCTAGCATTTCGAGTCACATTAGTATATCCTAAATAACACTTCATTAGCTTATTGAAGTAGTAGGCGAGTTACATTGAAAATTTTCATCACTATCTGGAGATTCAATCCTTTATATGAAATGCAGTTACTGAAGTTATAGTTGACTCGATTTGTACTAATTCCTTAATAATACTGCATCTGAAATTTGACTGCAAGCTATTTGACGTCATGATATTTGCATGAAGTGAATGAGATAGAGCTCCATGCAGTGATGAGTTGGCTAACATTGTTTACCTGTTATGCTACTGAAATATCCACAGATTTCCGATGATAAGCTTATCTCTGAGCCTGCAATGATTTAACAATTTACATATGAGTACCTCTCACTTATTGGAAATGCATGCATTTTCGTGCAACAAAAATGGTAAATCTATCTTTGAAAAAATCTTAACTGTCTCTTAAATAAGACTTCGGTTCATTGTTCCGTGACTAGAGGCTATTCACTGAATGTTATGCGCATCGTCGATCTGATGTAAGCTACAAGATAGCAATAATGGGTTACAGTCATCTAACATCATACCTTAGATAGGAGTCAGTTGTTTCCAGTTATTATGAATTATTATGAATTGTCGATCTTATCACTTGATCTATGCAACTCGTTTAGTGTTTCAGTGACACTGTGATGCAAGACTGTATAATGTTGCAGATTCAGTGAAGGGTGTGTTTTTGATGTGCCCGAGTCGCCTCAGTGAAATTAACTGGGTCACACAAAATGAGAACAACAAATCTTACTGCAGACACTGAATTCAAATCATTTGCATCACTGGTTCGATATTAATCTTTCCAAAATTACGCTTAATAGTGAAACAAACTGATGATCACTGAACCATGAATATAGGCAAAGAGACGATGCCAGTTAAAATGTCATTCTCATTTGTATCTGTTAAACTGTCCGCAAGAAGATTTTTCTTAATAGAGTGTAGTGGTTAGTGCGAATTACTATATCTATACTGTTTGGAAGTGTATATGTTACATAAAGTTTCTCTTTGATTGTCTATAAAAGGCATTTTAATGCCTAACCTGTTTGAAAAAATGCAGTAGTCAGTGTAGAAACTGTCAGGAAATGCAGTAATCATCAACAGAAAAATAACTGCTGAAGGTCTTTGAGATTCTAATACTTGTGGAAGTGACCTATGTGACAAGTAAATCACCTGCTTCCTAATTATGAAATCATTCAATTTATGTGCTGGAGAATTTGCATGTCAGACAGTGTAATTAAACAAAATTACTCACTTTTAATAGGAAAGTTATTAAATGAAATATAACATCGCAAAAGTTTTATGTGTAAGCGAGATACTAAAGTAAACTGTTGTCTTAGGAGAACTCAAGAACTCAAGCCGTCGTCTACTACAGTTACATGTTAAAGATACTGAACTAATTTAATACTCTTGAGCTTGAAGTGAAAAAAACAATAATTTGATTGGGCACTAGTAACCAGTTTGATGTGTCTAGTTCTTTGTTTGGTGCAGACTGAATTCTATTAGTCACATTTGCAATGTGGCCACTATTCTAGGTGGCTCACCATCACCGTGCATGCTGATTTGATGATATTAGATGGCTGGAGGCAATCAGCCACAGGAAGTCTTGCTCGCTGGTAAGGGCCAACTAGCACGAAACCTAGGTTAAGCAAGGCTTCCTATCGATTTCGTTCTACCATCTAAAGCCCATACTTATTCTACCATAAAATGTTTTATAAACATATTTTCTCATATTCTGACCTCAACTGGAGAATTCATTAATTTCAGAAAATAAGTTTTTTGATTTCTATCCACTAGTTCTATCTACAGACCAACTTTTATTTCAGTTTTACCTGTGGTTATAGATGAGCACAGAGAATCAATTTCGAAATAGGATGAAATGGATGTTCAGTGCCCATTGATTATCAGTAGTTTTATAGCTGATGTGTATTTATATCAGCAGTTAATCTTAAGAGTACTGTAGAACACAGTTTCAAACTCTCTACTTTAAAGCAAACTGATTTAAATTTCTGTAGAAAAGATGTTGGCAGTCATCCTATGTTGAAAGCCTTTTCTGCATTTGATTAAAACTATGTGATATGGTTAATAAATCTCGGTATTGTCAGACTTTGTTATCATGCATTCCTTATTCTTCTTCACTAAAATGTTTTCCTTCTTTGATAGTAAATGCTGAAAAGGTTTAGAAAGTTTTATCAGAGAAACTTATCTGCTCAATATACATAGAGTTTTATTTACAAGCTTGAAACATGGAGGAGTGAGATTTACATTAAAAACTTTTAAAACAGTACCTCTAATTTTTGCTTTTTCAATAGTCAATCATGTAAACTTGTGCATTTTATAAGGAACAATAGATGAAGTATGTAAATCCAGTATTAATGTGGACTTATTTTCTTTAAATGGCATTATTATACTACTGAATTGCGGAAAGAATAATTACATTATAATCTCAAAAAGCTAATTAGCATACAAATTAAATGCCACTGTTATTTAACAAATATTATAATGATGATGATTATCTTGGTAATTACATATTCTGAGAAAAGATTTTCAGGATTTGTATCATCTGTTTAATGGTGTTTAAGTAGGTTTCAGTGACAAAAATGATGTCCATCATCGTACTATGCATGATCATACAAAGGATATCTAACGTACAATTCGTTGACTGAGATATCAGTTGCCAGTGTCATAATAATCGAAATGTAATCGTAGTCAGCCAAAGGTATTCAAATACGTTGTTAAAATATCTACTAGATCTCTATAAGCACAATGCGCCGAACCGCAACAACTAGCACTTTTAGGCTTAGATTATTTTGATGTTGAGAGTATCATATAAGGCTTCATGAAACATATGTTGTGGTCAGATTTTATGAAAAGTATTCAAAGAAATGTGTAATACAAAAGACCACCGACATTTATGCTTACTTTGCATATATATATATATATATATATGTATGTATGTATTTATATATAACAAATCCTTATTAAATTTTCCTGAAGCAAGTGTTTTAGTCAAAATGATTCTGAAGAAGTGAGTACAATCTAGGCAGATATGCTTAATTTATTGAAGTGATAATTATACCAACTTTAAAGAGGATAACTAAACCCGTAGCATCTTTGGAACATTTCGACCAGAGAGATTCATTTTAAATCACCTGTGCATCAAAAGGTTTTGTTTATTTCTGTACGGAAGTACTATTAGATCACAATATTGATAACTAAAGGTATCACATGTAACTATATCATTCAGCGGTGCATTGCAAACAATCATTTTAAAGTGAGAAAATATCAGATTTCGAATACATTTTAACTGAGATAGATTTGTAAATTTATTACTTGGTGTCTGCAATTCACTAACAAGGCGCAAATTCTGAAAAGGTATTACTCAAATAGATGCTTTCAGTACTATCGTGTTTTCGTACTGAATAGTTTGACTGCAAAGCTTTCATTAATTTTTTAGAAAACAAATCTTCAGTGTTAAGTTCAAACTGAAGTGAGCTTTTAGAATAAATTCATTTTTCTTGATAACTGTGATTGTGACTGGTTGTTTTCGTAGATTTTCTTACTGTTGTATTCACTGTATTGGTACTGATGCTTTCATCTATCTGACACTTGAACTTTCCAGTCTTGTGACCTACATTTTATTGGTTAAAATAAATTTTTATCCATTTCAACATATCTTTTAATCGCGGACTTAATTGCAGTGAATGGAACTATAATGTTCGTCAATCAATAACCATAGTTATCTAATCACGTTTATGCATTAAAACAATGAGTTTATTATTGTATTAGCTGTAATTTACCATTTGGAAAAACTGTTCAATACTTTTTGCGGACAAATCCAAGAAGAATGCTTCCAAATGTTTGATTTCTCTAATAATATGGGCTTTGTAAAACGAATTTTCTCTCCATCGACGAATAAGGACTGTGGTCTGTACACTTTCTAAACATTCACGATATTTGAGAAAATCTAAGGAGATGTAAGGAAAAGGATATTTATTGTCATCAATTTTAATTAATAATTTCATTTTCATTTTATTGATAAAAAGTGAAATCGATCTAAAACGTTTGCGATGATTGACGGTTAATGTCAGATACACTTTGTTTACATTCAGATTTCATGAAAGGGTAAAACTGCTTCTTTGAGATGTTGACTTTCTGGAATGCAAAAAGTTGTTTGTCTACCATTCTACAGCAACAATCTCACGGAAAAGCAGATGTCGATATTATTTTCTGCCAAATAATAGAAAGATGTTAAATCAGAATTAGGATATTGAGACCACTGTCTGGTACCTAAGAATGTATTTATGGTGTACAGCCTCTCTGTACAAGAAATAATCTTACATTCTTCAGAGGCATATCATGTTCACTCCTCCGATCTCTCATATTTGTTATTAAGGATAGCTTTTATGCAAGTTGATCTACAATAATGTCCCTGAAAAAAACAGCTTGTGGGATGATAATTCATAAACAGGGTATTTTAAAATTTGCATTAGCAGTGATGTGTTCGGGACTAAGCTGAAAGTTTATTAGGTAAAGCATCCATTTCTGATTGGATCACTGTGTAGTGGAAATTGTAATTGAAGTTTGAATTGAAACAGTAGTCAAACTGAAGAGTGTCAACTAATGGCTTAGGACTCTAATAAATTTAATATGAAAATTAGTCACTTACAATGTCCCATTGTTACTTTTTTCACTTTAATTACTGCCAGCTACATTCTCATAAGTCCGCAAACCTGAAGTTATTTAAAACGGTCCCATCAATAATTAATTCTCTACACCCTATGCCAAGGTTATGATTATTACTGGAAGTGAGAACCTTGTTCAGAGACTAGTATGATAATTAAAAATGAAAGGTTATCTTTCATTCATATAATGCCTGCGTACATTATTCTGTATTTGAACTGAAGTCTAGGTTTGGTATGTGTCTCAATTTTGCAGAAGAGTTTAGACGACGCAGAGTTGATTATCCAGTGACTGTTAGCGTAGAAACTACAGAAACTCAGGTTTTCGTGATAACCAATCACAAGATAAAGGAATTCGGTAACTAACAATGAAATCCAGGACGCTCATTCTTTTCATTCGAAACTCGTTAGCTGGATGTGCCTGCAATCCTTAGTGAGTGGTGGTGTTCCTACTAAGACTCAAACCCAGCACACTTTGTTTAAAATGCCAAAGCATTATTCACTAGACCATTTGGTTCAACACAGGTCAAACATAACAGTTCAAGCAGTCAGCGGGAAAGTCAAAATTAACTTATGAGAAATAACGACGACAACATATTCTTTATTTTTTTCATTTGAAACACATCATCTTGTGAAACAAGTATGACAACAAATCGCTGTTTTGTTGAAGCAGAATAATAAATATTCATAGTTGTTCATTTTTATCCCATATCTTAGTTGCTTGTACGTAGATCAGTTGATTTGATTTCTAAAAAAATAAGTCTATCCCCAACATACTAGTGTTCTTTGTGTAATCGTCTGATAAATTGGAAGAGTTTAGGAAAATTTTAGGATAAAGATGGCAGCTAATTTCATTTTTCATAGAATATCTAAGTCGGCCAGAATACAACTCCTTAGTAAATACCGTTTCTCGATGTGAAAACCAAATAACAGTAATGATTATGTGTGATTTGTTGCTAAATAAATCAACTTTTTATACAAATTGACGAAAGGGACATGAGCTTAATAGAAGTATGCATACATAGGAGACAATGCATAACTTACCACTACTGTGTTCATATACGATTGCAAACCCCTTCCAAGCGTCCTCATTCACTACAATGAGATTTTTAAGGAGTTCTGCTACAAGAAATTGACTGGGTCCAATTGAATGAACTAAAGCAGGGGAATACGGATTCGAGATCCGATGATGGGAGTTCCCTGTACGGTGCTTAGTTTTTGAAAATGAAAACCATCTTATAGCTGAATCGATCATAGATCCTGGACATTCCTCAAGGTCTGTGATTGTCACTAGAGGTAGTTGTAATCTTGAGCTTAAACTCATCAACAACTGACGTCTATAGCATCTTAACCGTTCACTAGCCTCTGATTCTGCTGTTTGCTCCAAACCGTTTTGTAGAGTATTCCTCATTTCCTGTTCGTATTCCTCATTTTCAGCATTTTCATCTTTGAAACTAGTGGAGAATGTAAACATATCATCGTTTTGTGCAGCATATGGCCAACTAGCATCGACCAACCCAATCGGTCTAGTTGTTTTATTAAGTATAGAACAGGCTAAAATTAGAATGAAAAATAAACTTTTATTCTAAATCTGAAAAATCTTTAATAACAAGTTAATTAATTTGCCTGTTACTAAAAATCAAGGTATATCATGAATCTCATTGATCATTTTTGAAGTGAAAATGAAAGAAACTTAGTAATTCAGCACACTTTCTATGGCACTTTTAAGTTTTATGCAGCTGTTAATTTCCAGGACTGAATTCACTTTATAGATTAAGACTGTATATAAGTAGCTTTTTGAAGTGAAAAATGTTTCATGATAGATTTCAATATGAATTGGTGTCAACAACGAAAAAATACCCACTAAGAATCCGCGACGCTGTCACAAATTGCGGCAACTCACCATTTGCTCAGTGATATGAAACCCATTAGCTAATGAATTTCTGCTTCCACCGACGTAAAATATAGAGTTGAAGCTTGCAATACCAAAACCTCACAGTTTAAAATAACCAAAACTGTTCTTCGCCTATCACCAACATCTCTGTAGTCCTTTACCTGATAACATTTCGTTATAACCACTACTTGATGTTACGCAACTGTTAGCTCATGGATCTTGGTAACTTAATAAAATTATACTCTAATATGCAGAGTTGACTTTGAAAGCGTTTTTAAACTAGGAATTCTTCTGGGTATTTCACATTTTAAAAAGTAAGTTGTATTCATAGTTTAAAAGCAGTATTTCCTCTTTATAATTTATTCTCATTTATTCACATTAAATTGTGAAGAAGACTGTTTTTGTATAGCTCACTTTCAATTTGTTTAGCTAAGTAAAATTGTCTACTGGGAAATCAAGCACTAACAAATCTAAAAAGTATTTCATCTACACACATCGAATAACTGGATATGAACTGAGTATAAATTTTCTCTTACTCTTTTCATTGAGTCTTTATAGCAAGTTTAACTGCGCTGTAGAAAGCACATTAATTTCTTTAATAGACTGCATTTGTGATATTTCAAAATCTATTTTTAATGCATATATGTATACATGCAAATTATATTATTTTTATGTTGCCATCTAGAAAGCCTTGATCATCAAATATATATATATGATATGATATGATATACCCTTGTTAGTGTGATGAATAATAATAGAACTTAGTATTTTAGAAAGTGAGACTCCTGAGCAAGATATCAGAACTTATTACTTCTTCCTAGGCGTCACGAACTTGTATTTGATGAGATGAGTTTAGATAATACTGGTTACTAACCTTTCTAGAAGGAAAGTTTCATTGTTGGTATTAGGTGGTTAGACGCAGTCGGCAGGAAGCCATGCGTGACCTAGGTTTCGTGCTAGTTGTCACTCATCAGTCAGCAGGGCTTATCCGCAACTTCGAAGGAACTCATGTCCCTTTCATTCTATCACTTCCATGAAGTTCCGCATAATATCTTCTAAATTACTTGTTATGTGGGACTAACCGTTTTGTTATAAGATGTATAATTCATTTTTAATCAGATTCTAACAGTAAATATCCGAAAGAAGTCTGTAGTTAGCTACTTCTCTAAAATGCATCGTGTCAACTGACTGTTCTTACTAAAAACCAGTTTTACACTATATCACAGTTACAGATATAATGCATCAACTTGTATATTCTATTTGCCAAAAATGATTGCTGAAAAAAGTTAATTCAACGAAAAGTCTTTAAATCTGTGTGTGTATCAAACAAAAAGATGTATTTTCTTTTGATAACACTAGGATTGATAATGAACTCACCAGCACTGAAATCTGCTTCGATATCGCCAGTAATTGGTAAGAGAACAATGGCGACACTTATGTTTGCCTCTATTGCATATTTTGAGAAACTCTGATCATTGATAGGCAAACCAAAAGCAACTAAACATTAAGACAAACAAAACTGTATGTTAGCGCATGCATCATCCTTATTTTTGTGGTTAAGAATTTCTGATAAGTTAAAATTGTTAACATGTGTAAAAGAATTCCTTACTATGCCTGAAAACAATTCACTTCACTGTAGAAAAATGATTTAAAACTGTCATTAGTAGACACGGCGTGAATGTTCTTGACGTTCACAATTATTTCTCAGAAATCAGTTATAAAATATGACCTACAGCTTAGGCAGTTAGAGTCAGGCTTGTTCTGAAATAAAAATTATCATATTAGTTATTCATTGTAAACTGAAACATATTTACTAATGTTACTTTAAGTAGTTGTCGCTGAAGTGTTTGCTGAAAATTGACCAATATTTAAGTCGTATTGTAGATTATATCTACAATGTCAGGGAAAGCTACGTTTGTCAGAAAATTGTCTTGATAGACAGATCATACACATCATATAGTGTTATAAGGACAACTATCATATACTGAATGTGTCCGCTTAATGATATACCGACTCCTTTTTGTGACTGTGTTCAGCTTTTATCATTGAGTATATCGTTTCAAGATGTATAAGCGTCAGCGTTAATGAATGAATTTCTCTAGATTTATAAAGTCATATTACTTTTACTTTTATTAAACAGCGTTTTCCGGGTAGAACTCGATGGTACATTATAAAGTAAAGCTTTCATCAATAACGTGATAAACGGTCGCTTAACTACTACAAAATCTTATTATTTCAGTTTTATAATAAAATTTTATACATTAGAGTGAAAGGTGGTTGACAGATCTGGTTTCTTACACGAAACTATTTACAAATAGAACGAAATCAGAGATAAATAAACAAATTTGTAAAATGAGATGAACAGTTGTTTAATTTGATCATGGTTATTATAAGACTTGTGTGTGCATAAAGACTGGATACTAATTTTTCAAGTTATGTTTAAAGCCTCGGAAAATTCTTTCTGTGTGGGAAGGAATATCTTTAAAATAAATGATACGAACAGTGTCCTGATTTATTGGAAAAACTTGTTCATATATAGTAGATATATATAGATCTCAGATAGTAGGTAAATAATTTTAAACAAACACAGTGATGTTGTAGTACCGCTACCTAGTTTGCCAACTAGAAATACCGAGATGAGACTTCTGGATAATTTCTTCCATCTAGGTTCGACTCTAGGTTCCGAGTGGTATATAGGGTTTCAACAGCACAGATTTCGTTTGTCCAGTTCTTTGCAGTCCTTTTTAAACGGTCCGACGATTGCCCACAAGATATCATCTCCTACTCGCTAGATCCCCTCCATATCACCTTCCAACGCCAAACTCGTTGTTTCCCATCCGGGTTCAACTGGAGAGATGGTATGGCACATGATGTCACCCAGCGGTATCCTTAGCTTGTGTCCGGTCCATCTCCATTTTCTTCCGCATATTTGTTAGGTAAAAGGTTCTTGGTTGGCTTGTTCCGAGACCTCCTCGCTGCTGATGCTTTCTTGACAGCCACCCGACCTTCATTAAGAAACCAGAGAAAGGAGCTTATGAAGAAAGTTTGCATTGTCTCGTTGAAATAGTTTTTGTAACGCACGATGCAAGTCTCTCACCCATACAGAAGTGATTGACTAAACATGGCTGTTGCAAGTCATAATTTTGTTCTTTATGCTGTGGAGTGCAGAATATTTCCAAACCGATTCCAGAGAGATGAATGTGTCTGTCTTGACTTTCCGATTATGGTTTCCACTTCATCATCTGTGCCACCAGCGTGAACTTGAAACAATGTTTCCTAAATAGGTGGAAGGAGTGACCCCCTTCAAATTTCTCCCGCTGACACTGATTGGTGCTGGTTGTTGTTATTGTTGATTGGTTATTTCATCACCTCCGACTTCTCTATGTTCACCTCTCCTATGTCCCGTTTTCATTCGCTGCCTGCTTCTTCTGTCAGTTTGTTGGCTTGTATCTGTGTGACACTAAGCAAAAATTATGCACGCACAAAATCCAGATCTTCTAGAGTTTTCTTATCGGTCGAACGTACTCCTGTCTTCTCGCTCCACTCCTCATGCACGGTGTGCTGCATAATCCAGTCCACTACAATTAAGAACATCATTGGTGATAGATAGTAGTCAGCTTTGTCTAACTCTTGTATTCAATTCAATGGCTTCACTGAGCTGTGGATCACCTGACATATGGCATTGTCAAATAGTCAGCTGTTGAGTGAAGTTGACGAAAATCGGAGGTTCTCCGTAGTGTTGAAGTAGTTACTAAATTACTTTGTGGTCAACGCTGTTGACGGCTGCTAGATGACGGTGATGCATAGAGCTGCAATCAGGTGTGCACACGATCTGCCTCTCCTCAATCCAACTAGCCTGTTCCGGCAGGTGGAGTTCTACATTCAGTGCATCTTTTAGTTCCTCTATGATGATGCGACTTAGAATTTTGCTTGATGTACGCAGGAGCATGATTCTGCACCAGTCCTTGCAGAGGCCTAAGTCGTCCTTCTTTGAGATTGTGACAAGGTAGTCCTTCTTCCAATGGGAAGGTACCTCTCCTTCCTTTCTTTTTTGCAACCTTTCTGTGACACTGACGTGAGAATATTTGCTGTGGTTTCTGAACTCGTTCCCAGTGCTTCAGGAGGGGAGCAAATTCCGTCTGGTCCTGCTGCTTTGTCGACTGGCTCTTAGCAGCTCAGCTGCATTCAAGATTTCTGCTTTCGATGAAGGATTGGTGTCCAGTGGCAGGCAGTTCTGTGAGTACTGTTAGTGGTGGTATTTCTGAAAGACTTGCAGGTGATAGTCGGTGCAAGAGTCCTTTGAATTGACTGGCTCATTGTTTTCCTTGTCTTGCTTCCTTGGTGATCAGGTTACCTTCAACATCTTTTATTGGTTTCATCATCAATGTTGATCTCTTCCCCGATACAGACCTGGTTATCTCACATGACGTTTTGAGGTCTCTTTTACCAGCAGCCTCTTCTGTTTCATCTGTCAGTGTATCATAGAATCGTCTTTTGTCTTTCCAGACATTCTTCTTCATATCTTTATTCAGTGCAGTGTACATTGAACTCCGGTTCTCCTTCTCTTGTCCATCTTTGCATTGAGTCATCTTCTTTCTCATCCTCCTCCTCTTGCCTACTAGGTTCCAGATATCCGTTGAGAGCCATTCCTGGTCACACCTTGTCTTCCTTCCTAGAGCAGTTGTACACGTCTCCTTGAACAATACATCCAGAGACTTCCGGTGTTCTTTCACACAGGTTTCTTCAGTGATGCCACGTGATGTCTCTGACTTTCTCTAAGAACTGCAATGAGGTGTACTTTGTAGTTTCGTCTTTCATTTTCTGGTTGTTGAACTGAACCGGTTGACCGAAATCTCGATTTGAATGCAATATGTTCAGAACTGTTGGCAGCGTATATCTCATATTTCTGGTCACATAACAGTTATTAAATACCATGGGATAGTTTTTTCCCAAAAGTGAAATAGAAATGAAACAGACAGTTAGAGTGGTATGTTATCACTGAAACCTAATTATATCATTAGTCTTTAAGCCACAGTAACACTGGTGATTATTAAACCTAATTTGTTCATATTTTGTATTCCATTGTGAATTACTTCTGTCTACTCAAAATTTCTGAATGCTGTAACACTTTTTCCAAATTCACTTATCACGGGTAATTAATTCCACTAGTATTTGCATTTTCATGTCCTATAGGATGTGTTTTATTGTCTTATTATTTAATTTAACTACTAAGAGAGTTTTTATACACCATAAGACTTGATCAAAATAACAACTGTCATTAAATTACTTTGCCAACAAAGCTGTCGTTATTATTACATAAATGGAAATGTCGAAGCGCAAACTATTCATATTGACGGCCAGTTTATTCAGATTTTAAGGCTTAAAGTAGAGTTTATAGTATTTTTTGTGACATACATTTGACTAAGTAAGTATTTCATGCAAAATCCTTTTGGTAATGTTTTCAAAATCCATTCGAAACATATTTTATTTAGGTCGATTAAAAATATCACTTGTATACAAATAGCAAATATTATTCTAAAGCTAAATACAAGGCATGTACTTGTAATCCCTCGAGAGAGTTATTCTGGAGAAGTTTATTTGTTAAGGTGTTGAGGTTATAGTAGTCGTTAGGTCTTGTGTGTGTGGTATTGATAAAGAAGCTATTCTTCTTCTATAACTAACGAACAGGGATATCTTCAATATTTTTTGTACTGAAATTTCAAAGTTATCTCCTCAGAACTTCTACAAAACAACACTTATAATCATATTTGTTAAGTGATGGGCTGTGACCATATCTTTGAGGCGAAAAATTCTGTTATTCATGAAACACTGAATCCACTTTCTCTAGGAAGAATGACAATTTCAACTCTTTGAGACATCATCTTTGACTATAACTACTGAACACCTGACTTTCAAAGTGAAGTAATTTATGAAAGAAACTGACTCACTTCTGTTCGGTGTTCACCATCAAAAATGCTCACTGATGTTGTGTTACCTCTTGAAAATTTAAGTTTTGCAGTTCACTTAGTAACTCAGCTTAGAAAATACGAGCTATGAATCATCTTTTATTAGCTAAATCAGTGAAACGATCTGTTCATAGCAAAAACATATAAACTTGTTAGAATCCAATTAATTGTAATATCTCTCCAGTTCACCGCAATCTAGCGTTGATTGGATAATTTTTCAGTAAACATGAATGACCAATACTTTTAACAAAGAACCATGATTAGTGCAAGAAGTCCTTCTTTAAAATAACTAGTTGACAGGTTTATTGTGCGGGTAATCTAGCCTTAGCTATCAACAGTCAGTTATCATCCATCAGTTCACGATAACTCATAATACTCTAGTTGTCAGATTGAGTTAAACTCTGGTATCTGGGAGAAGTTAGATGAGACAAAGTTTACGTTTTTTGTTTTGAGAAATTAGGTCCTTTATGTTACTTTAATTCTTCGAAAAACAAAACAGCCAGAAGTATTCATAAATTTAAATGTATTTCTGGTCATCAGTTCTTCGAAATAAGAAACCCTATTTTGTATTTATTTCAAGAGAAGCTTCAACAAACCTTTATCTACCAATGCTATTAACGGTTATTATAGCCCCTTAATTGCAAAATTAACTGTTGCACATGCTATAAAATAAACTCCGTACACAATTTAAATCAGTGGATGAGGTATCTTTAAATATTTTACAAGCTGATCATCACTAAGGCATTTTATTCTTTATATTATGCTTACTTTGCTTCCAGTACATACCTTCCAGTTTCTTAAACAACATGTATATTCCTGTTCATTTTTCTAAGATATTTTTAATCCTCCAGTTTGCTTTTTATTTGTTACAATTGTTCTCTTGAGTTTATTATTATTTGTTAGTATTTTAACAATTGGGAACAATGTATGGTAACCAATATTATGCCGTTAATCATGAACTAACATTCAGACTTTATCCGAATAAGTGGTTAACGTTAGAATAAAGAATGCAAATTAGAATTTTGTTAGTCGTTCTTTAACACAAAACAAACAAACAAACAAAACATGTGCAAAAACTCGTTTTTGTTTCATCTGTAAGCGACGTGATGATGAAATGGGACATCACTTCAAAGTATAGTTGAATATGAAACTTTGGTTATTTTAATTTCTTAGCTTTTAATCAATTTATGTCAAGTATGGTGGTCGTTTTGGATGAATGAAATATATTTTAAATCATACTTTCAATGCAGGCGTCATTCATTTAACAAAAAGAGAAGTTTTAAAGGCTTCGCATCTGCCTGATGAGTCTTATTTACTTCTTTTAGGCTGTACGCATTTTCTGTTATCAAAATCATATCAATGTGTCTTGTTTTTCATAGTATCACGCGGTGTTCAAATAAATCTAATTCAGTCACTATCACAGTGGCTACTTTCCTTTGAATGAATAACACTCCAGTGTAGAGCTGTTTATCCAGCTTATCACAATAAAGTTAAAAGATGAATACATTGATAATTAAATTATTACTTACCCAGTGTATTGCTTTGTGCATGAGCTTTCCAAGTAGTGATATGTTCATCAGAAGACTGCACAAGAAAATAGAATACTACTATAACTCGAAACATTCGTGTTTGTCAGAGTGTTAGTTCTAAAAAGAAATATGTGAGAAGCCACAGAAGACAAATTAATGCCTAAATGAGGAAACAAGGAAGTCCTCCCAGAGGTTGAATAAAATCCGATATAATAAACCAAATCAGTTAACGGGAAACAGAAGACTAGAGAAACCTTCAATTAACAAAATTCGAAGCTGCGTTAACAACAATATTATATGGAGGTCTACCATTCTAGCTTAAATAGTCATCATGAGGTGAAATCTGAGTCACTTATGTTGTATATAAGAGAAAAATCGGTTAATTTTTGTTTTACTACTGCTGGAAAAATTTGGTTGAATGCATCTGCATTCAGTTGCATAGTCCCTACATTGAAGGGTACACAGATTCTGAAAGAAAACTGACGAGTGAAGGAAAACCTAATAAACTTTAACTAAACACCAATTAATAATCAAAAAAGTTAAAGTTTTCTGAAGATAAGTTGTGGACTGGTTGTTTGGATAACCTGGGCGCAAAATCCACATGTTTCATCACGCATTTTATACTTGCATAATCCATGTTCAGTACACTGGAAAAAATGAATAAAAATATTAGCGTTTCACGTTAACCTTTACTTTTTCATTCTACTGAGTATATCCCTTACGAAAGTATTGATGTGATATGAAGCTTAAGGTCAGTGTATTGATTTTTGGCATCCGAACTACATGTACAATCACTCATTTTGATGTTCCTGTGGTGATTAAGACTAATTACCATAAATCGAATAACAAAATCTGAAACTATAAGCATTAATTAAAAGTTAGCTTTCGGAACAAGCGAAGATGTCCACTCTGACTAAGCAAAATGAGATTTAAAAGTTTTAATGAATAATCAGTAGATATCTAGGCTTCAGCTTAATATTTCCTGATACATTCCTACACTTTCACTATACACTGGTACAGGTAAGAAAGCCTTCCATTTTACCTTAATTTAACAAAAATTTATCCGAAAACTGAACATTTTGTTTAGGAATAATTAAGTCTCAGAGTAGAATTTCAAAACATTTAATTACGTTTTCATCTTACAACTGAGCAGGAGTAAGCTGGACAAGTTGGACAAGTGCCATCATGAGTGTTATCACACCGGCGGTTACTATCCCAGTTACCCCGGAAGTAAAACCTACTAGGCGTTCGAAGCGTCTTAGTAAGCGAAAAGGTAAAAAACGGAAGCTGTAAACAGCACCTCAGAACCAGAGAACACCGTAAGCGAAGTTCACCATGAAGGTGGCGCAGACACTGATCTTGATTGTACCATCAAAAACTGCAGCAGCCCTGAGAAGCAACTGCAGGCAGATGATAAATGGGTAACAAAAATAAGCAGTCGAAAGAAATATAGTAATATTGATGGTAGGCAAACGTCTGTCACCTGTAGCCAGGCTGCATCAATAGTGGTGAGAAAGGACGTAGCCACTGCTAAATACGACAAGCTCTCCTTAGACTCTAACATAATTGTTGGAAATTTGGAAGAGTCCAAAGAATCTGATCCCGTGAAAAGGCACGATCACGACCTTAAATTAGTGAGTAGTATTATAAGGAAGATGCTCCCAGCGAATTTCCCTGGAGTATCGATTAAAAAGCTGATTAGAATAGGCAAAAGAGATGATGAATGTTCTAATCAGCGTAGGTTGCTTAAAGTAGTCTTAGGTTCTCCTGATGAACGGAATCATCTACTGGCTAATGTACACAACCTTGCCGGGTCAGGAATTTCAGCCAGACCTGATTTATCTCTTGAAGACAGACTTAAACGAAAAGAAGTTTTGTCCCAGCTAGAAACAAGACGCAAAAATGGTGAGACTAACCTTAAACTGGTGGGTTTTCAAATAGTCAGGTCTTGGAAACGTATGCTTCCAAGACCTGTGTGGATAGGCCAGACCGCATAGGAAGCCTGAAGGTAGTGTACACTAATATACGTAGTATCGGGAACAAATTTCACGAGCTAGGTGTATTAGTAGAAGACCTTAGCCCAGGTATTGTGGCCATTACTGAAACATGGCTGGTTTCGGGATTAGATGACACACCTGAGCTATGCGGATTTAGTTGCTTGCGCAGCGACAGAGTTAAGGGTCGTAGAGGTGGCGGGGTTGCTCTGTACATCAACAACTCCCTACATGTTCGTTCCGTGAAATCTGAAGCTCATGACAGTGGGACAGGTGAGGTAATTAGCTGTGAAGTAAGCTTTGCAACCGGCACTCTACTCATTGGAGTTCTGTATAGAAGTCCCTATTGTCAGTGTGATGACTTCATTTTAGATCACCTCAAACAATGGAGTAAACACAGTAGCTGTCTTATTCTAGGTGATTTTAATGCACCTCATATAGACTGGGTAGCTGTCACATCTCCAGGATCCGCTGATAAGTTTGACAGCCGGTTACTCTTGACAACCATGGAAAATGCCCTGACACAACATGTCTTAGGTAGTACAAGATTCGGTTCTACCCAAGGATCTTCCTTGCTGGACTTAGTGCTTACTCATGACAACGACGACGTGGATGGTCTAGTTATTCATCCACCTCTAGCAAACAGTGATCATGGGGTGTTAGATTTTAACTTAAGGGCTGGCAATTTAGTCAGTTTTCAACCCAAATCCCGGCCTAGTGTTTGGCATGCTGACATAGTGGCTATAAAGGAGCGTGCTTCAACTGCCGACTGGTCAGTCAACATTGTCTCATCCATTGAAGATGAATGGGATAGATTTAAGAATACACTTGAGAGGGTTACCACTGATCTCATCCCCTGGAGGGTTCCTAAAAGGCCAACAAATCGGCCACCATGGATAAATAGACAAGCTATAACACTCCTGAGACGGAGAAAAAGGTTCTGGAATCTCTTTGTTTCTACTGGGCTACAGCAGTTCCGGCTGAAATACTGTGAAACCAGAAACCAGTGTAAAACTTTGATCCACCAGTCAAGGATAGCTTACGAAACCCAGTTAGTTAAAAGTTCACCAGGCTGCCCAAAAAGACTCTTCTCATATATCAAGAGAAGAACACGTAAGAGTGATGCTATCCCACCTCTTATGCTTGAAGATGACCAGACAAACATGGCTGAGGATAACTTGACTAAGGCTGAGGCTTTGTCCAAGCACTTTAGTCAAGTATTCTCTGATAAAATTGATACCAGCTTTGTAAATTTTCCAGAAGGTAACTTGAAAATGGCACCCTTATACATTGGAAAGGATACTGTCCTAAAGTGGCTTCTAAGGCTCAATCCTGGTAAGTCCAGTGGCCCTGATGAACTCCACCCACGTATATTAACAGCATTGGCTGAAAGCATAGCCGAGCCATTGTCGGTAATCTTCAATATGTCTCTGGACCAGTCTAAATGTCCAAGAGACTGGAAAGATGCCATCATTAGTCCGGTCTTCAAAACCGGATCTAGAAACTTAGTTCAGAACTATCGTCCTGTTAGTTTGACCAGTATTGTTGTTAAACTACTAGAAAGAATAATTCGTGATGCTATCATTCAGTTCATTGAAGGGAACAAACTTTTCGCTGTGGAACAGCACGGTTTTAGAGCAGGTCATTCTTGCTTGACCAACCTTCTTTTGGCCAGAGAAAGTTGGGCAAGCTCAGCTGATGCTAATATACCGGTGGATGCCATATTCATAGACCTTAGCAAGGCGTTTGACAGGGTTTCTCATTCAGGTCTTCTAGTAAAGTTAGGTAGTCTGGGAATCAATAAAGTGGTTACCGACTGGATTCAAGACTTTCTAAAGGACAGAAGACAAAGAGTACGAGTTAACGGGGTTTTATCAACATGGGAATCGGTTAAGAGTGGCGTTCCTCAGGGTACAATTCTAGGCCCACTTCTTTTCCTGATTTATGTTAATGAGATTCCATCGGTAGTTAAGTCATCCTGCTTACTGTTTGCTGATGACATCAAGATATGGAGGGCTTTGCACGATGACAGTGATCAACTTGCTTTGCAGGAAGATTTAAACTTGTTAAGTGATTGGTGTAAGCGCTGGGCCTTGGAGATTAACTTAAGCAAGAGTGTAGTTATGCATGTATCCCATAGTCACGTGCACAATTACTCAATGAATGGCATTACTCTCCCAGTGGTCACTGAGTACAAGGACTTGGGAGTGGTTGTGCAGCATGACTTGAAAACAGCAACAAACTGTAGAACTGCAGCCACTAAGGGTTTTAGAATGTTATGGGCCATACGCAAGGCTTTTGCGAACTTTGACGCTGATATATTTCGTATATTATATCCGACTTATATCAGACCTCATTTGGAATATGGGATCCAGGCAGCGAGCCCGTGTTTCAAATACGAAATTGACTTATTAGAAAGGGTGCAAAGAGTAGGAACTAAGCTAATAAAGGGTTTCTCAACCCTGTCATATGAGGAGAGGTTAAGTCGACTGGGTTTATTTCCACTGTCATACAGACGACTTAGGGGTGACCTAATACTAGCATACCGTATCCTAAGAAATGATTTTGGAGCTAATTTATCTAAATTATTTCTTCCTTCTAGCACCAACCAATTGCGAGGACATCACCTCAAGGTTCAAAAACCACGGTCGAATCGTCTGCGTCTGGAAATCCGTTTTTCGCATCGAATTGTGAACCATTGGAACTCCCTACCGGAACATGTCGTATCAGCGCCATCCGTTGATTCATTCAAGGCGAGATTGGACCTCCTGTATGAAATAAATCGAAAGGATTAACACAGGCATATAGCCTACTATCCTAAATAAATTGTAAACTGTAAACTGTAAACTGTAACCTTATCTGGTGGATCACAATGTATCGCGATCCACTACTTGTTTTTATTTACACAAATTGCATCAAATTTTAAGTGGGTAACTCAGGAAATCGTGAAGGCTCTACTAGTTGTAATATAGTGATATGAAGACATAGTGCTTATGAGTCTTAATGGAAAATGAAAATCAACTCAATAGTGCTTTGTTTCCAGTGTGACCCTATTCGATTTCAGTTCAAGGAAACGAACTCCTGTAATTACTTAGCTTTT